GACTTGGCAGGATTCCGACTTTTGAATGCTCTTCTACTCGATTTCCAATGGAAACCCTATTCGGTAAGAAATTACTACTTAAGTACTATGCATTTTTCACACTGATTTTCGATGGTCTAATAAATTCAAATATATTTCATAAAACATGGACAAAAACGCTTTCTTTTACTCATTTAATAGAGAATCACGTCATCTTTATATTGTATTATTAAAGAAGGAGTATTACTAGTCTTAGAAAACTTTCTAAGTATGAGATTTCTTAAGACCGCGCAATTTCCACGCACACAGCATCGTACCTGTCCGTTTACCACTGCTTCTCATGAAGTGTACAGCATAGACCTCCTCCACTGAAAAATTTTATGGACTCTATATGATGGATCTTTAAAGGCATTGAAGAATGCATGGTTTTCCGTACGCGGAACGCATGCACCTTGTAGACTGAAATCAATAAACGCTAATGCAGCGACTGATCAGGCTCCAAATTATTCGGGAATTAGAAAACCCTTTTAAAAGCTAATTATACTCCTTCTTCAGTAATATAATATAAAGATGACGTGACTCTCTATTAAACGAGTAAAAGAAAGCCTTTTTCGTCTATGTTTTTATGAAATATATTTGCATTTATTAGACCATCGAAAATAAAACTGAAAAAATATGTGCTACTTAAATTGTCATTGTTTACCGAGTAGGGTTTCCACAGGAGGTCGAAAATAAGTGCATTCAAAAGTCGGTATCCTGTCAAGTCTGAAACGTTATAGGATTATGCCGCAAGGTAATCAGTATTATAAATCCACCTAAACTATCCTTCTTAATCGAAAACGCATTTCGGAATTTCGACCAACATTTCATTAGATGGACCACGCTCTGTACTTATTGATATGGCCCTGGTCAGTGTTGTTTTAGCCAGCCACTATCTTCCTGAAGTGACTAGGAAGTTTTTAACATAAAAGGATACCTATCGCAGTTGGGATTTCACTTGTTAAAACCTGGCCGCAGGACTGTAATGGAAAGGGAACCTATATCATTTGACGCCCGTCATATCGCGGGCTCTGGTGAATTTTGCAGAGCGCACGTTGCGCTTTTTATCGGTCCTTCATGCACCGGTGGCACTGCCAGTGATGCACGAGTCAAACTTCAGATTGTGCATATTTTGCAGTTGGCGGTCTTTGAAAGTCGTTCTTTTTTTCTGCCATCCCTATATGTGTCAGGTGGATAGTGGTCAGGCAAACGAGTAGAACCTCCCTCCAAGTCTGTGATTACTGAAGACCTATACACTGATTTCAGTCGACAGAAAACATCGGATATAGGTGGCCCTTCCAAACAGTTCTTCGTAGAATTCAGTCGGTCTGTACTAGAAACATCCGATACGCATTTTAGAAAGGCCTTATCAAGTGGTTGTATAGCATATTTGCGCGTGTCGCCAAAGATGCGGGCAGCCTATGAAGGACTACCACCAGGAGCAACGGTAAACATGCTAATACAATTACCGAAATTGAGCTGACGAGCGGTGTTTTAACAATTCTAGGGCATAACAAGAAAAAAACGCAGGTGTTGCCCAACTTAACCGGTGAAAACTGCAAGTACATTTCGGATTTAGCAGTCCTCAAATACAGCTACTGAAATGCTACAAGTACCTAGTAACTAACAAAAACTTTAACAAATAATTATCTGACCTACGATTCGGCAGTGAAAAAATATATGCAGTGGGCGGAGCTGAGGTCACTTTGTATTGCTTCAGCAGGGTTAGGAAACACGTCATCTCAACCAAAGTCTCTATTTATACTACTTGCGGGTAGTCGCTGGAATAAGGATTTATTTCCCTGACGTTTAGTATTCTCGCTCAAACCCTAGTTAGATTCCGAAGCGGAAAACGATATTTTCAGGGTAGAGCTATCATGTAAGCGCATTCGTGTTGCGTGCATTGAGTGTTGCATTTATCAAAAGAGGTAAGTATTCATTAGAAACAATAAATTTGCGTAGGCGAATTAGTGACCATGTAAAAATTGAATTCGCAGATGGCCTTGATTCAGAGAACAGACGAATAAAGACCTCAAAGTTTAGCACACCTGAGTGAAGTCACATAAGTCTAACAAATCAGTCTTAGGCCGGTTTCAGAATTTCCAAAGCATTTCAGATGCAAAACGGGAAAACCCAGCGTCTAGAGTTTACAAGAGAGACGTCTAGTTACTTTGTTTGTTGTTAGTCTAGATAATACAAATATCACCTGCAATCCAGAGGAGAGGCCACGTCATGGAACCTTTGTTTGAATCTATAGCACAACGCCGTAAACATTAAATAGTAAGTGTGGTTAGATCGCATTGCAAGACTTTAGCGTCTCTACGTACCGTCTAACAAAACAGGAGAAGTCTGTGATCTGAGAATCCACATGATATGGTTTTGACTAATTTCGGTTCGTTAGGTTCGTCCGGGTGTTTCGAAGGTAATATAAAAAGGATGGTAGGACAGATTTGCCTAGTGCTTCTGATAACGACCACGATTCCTCGATCGGAAGGACTTGTGAAACCGCAGCCAGTCTGCGGCTGTTGCCGAAGAAAAATCAAAGTTTTCGTAGTCGTTCTAATGAAGTTGTGATCAAAGTCAAATTTTGTTGAATACACGAACCTAATGCTTTGTCGTCAGAATAGAGTAAAAAAACCTTTAAACCTGGAGTAAGTTCCAAAAAATAAAAATATACATACTCATCATGATACCATACAAATGCGGGTACTGGGTCAAATATCGAATCTGGATAATAGGCTTTGTCTGCGACGAAAAGTCAACCAAGGAGTTATGTTTAGCAAAGCACGGCAAGTAGCTATTCAATATGAAGACTGCCGACAATTTTAAAACCCCTTTCTTTAGTTTTTTAAAGATGCAATCAATATAGTAAACGAATGGCCTTTAACAAACACTGAAAACAGCTTTTTCCATAAGATTGGCGAAAGAGAAGTTGTCTATTCTTCCTTCCCTTGATGAGTACAAAGCGACACCTAAACCATAAATTTCACGCAATCGGCTACGTCCTTGAAATTTCTAAACGCTTAGGCGAAACATCAGCTTTTTAAGTGATTGCACATGAAACCTTTATATAGGTGTGCGAGTTCAGCACAAACAGAAGACGCACATTAAAAAATTCGTTTACAAGAGATATGTGGTAACGCCCCGAGGTGGGACACATTGACAACTATTCTATTATTATATTCCATACTTCAAAAGAATAAGTGGTTTATGTCGATAAGCAGAGGTATGAGACAGCCACAGTCTTCGGACATTTCAAGGGTTCACGAAATTGCATTTAGCTTCAAATACCATCAACAAATTGTGGCTTTCAGAAGGCGGATGGCCATCAAATTAACCCCGCTACCGACGAATTTAACCGTTCATAGATTACTTGTATTCTGGCAAACAGAGCAAACTCCCCGCTAGATATACACTGTGCTAAAATTTTTAAATAATCATCAAGAACTTATTGGACAGGCCTGGCGTTTTCTACTTGAAAAAATTATAAATGGAAGATTTGAAACGCGAACAACCAGAAATCTCGTATTTTGAAAACTTTCAACGGACAATCGGGCGTTATTTCAATGAAAAAAATAAAATGTGAGGAACTTTTTCAAGGTTGGAATGAGGACAGGCACTGGCCTACAGCGGGAAACGTGGTGGGTGCAGATGAGGTCATCCACTTTTAAGAAAATCACGCTCAAACCAACGTTTTCTTGATCCGCTGCGGCGTAGTCTTAAAAGTAAGTTTACTTTACAAGTTAAGATGTAAAAATTGCAAAAAGCCATTCCAAACGTCAGTAAAGACTCTGCACAGGCTGCTGCCTCCACGGCAAAATTTTCAATCAGCCAATGAAAGCGCTTCACACGATGGGCCACACATGGCTAATTACATACGAATTCACACTTTACCCCTAAAGGGCTTGTAAACACTTTTGCTCTCCCTTTGTTCTTTATATTTTTCGCCTGCGATTTTTGAAAAATGACCTTAATCAATAAGTGAGAGTAGCAACCACGAGATGTACAGACAAAAAGCCAATACGCGTGGGAAACTTCAGGTGCTATTGCGTTCTCTTATAGCGGTAGAGAATGGACCGACTTCACCTCCGAAGAACGCGTTCTCAATACTGCACAGGGTCTGTCTGCGTCAGGTTAATGGCGTGATCCAGTTATCTGCGCAAATTGACCTTTCTTCGCCATTAGTACATTACCAGCCCTTAAAGCAACTAAAGCTAAAGCTCTACAGACCCATAAAATACCGGAAACTCAGTTTGGCTGAACTTATTTTAGCGTATCGAACGAGTTTAACCGTCGATTTTCATGAAATTTTATTCGTCGACTTTGGAAGTCGTATGAGCACATGCTTGACTGCCAAATTCACATCTGTATGACTTCTCGAGCAGGGCATGAATGGCTTTTTGGGACAAATTTTCACCTTATACTTGACGTTGTCGACCCTGGTGACGTAATTTTTCGCATCCATTCAGAAAGAAAACTTCCACTGACCTTTTCAGAAGTCAGAAGACTATTTGGCGGGCATCTGTTTGCTCTTGATAAATTCTCACAGGGCCAGTGCATTTATGTGGGAACGCGGTACAGGTGGAACATACGGGAGATAAGAGAAATCGATTACAGTTCGTCTCTCCGAGCAATTGGGGTGTGGGACGGGGGGAAGGAAGGACAGTAAGGGTTAGGGGGACGCCGGAGGAGGACGCGAAGGGATGTACGTAGTCAACCAAGTTTTGATCACGGTAGGCGTGGAGCATGTATCAGGTTCTTCTGTGCACTCAAGACGGGATTTCGTAACCTGATGGCAGTCGACTCTACTGTTGCTAACAGACGCCGGCACAGTAGCTCCATGGTCTGGAGCACCCACATACACTCGCCGCATTCACCTCAACTGGCCGCTTTGCCCTCGCAAACCCACCCACCGCATACGATTCTACGACAGCGGAATTCACCACAGTATCGACCCATCTGGTACACCTTGCACACCCGCCATGCCCAACGGAATCAACACCTCATCGCCCAGCGAGCCCACCACCGCCACCACCACCACCACCACCACCACCACCACCACCACCACCAGCAGCAGCAGCAGCAGCAGCAGCAGCAGCAGCAGCAGCAGCAGCAGCAGCAGCAGCAGCTCCTCCTCCTCCTCCTCCTTTGCCTCCTCCTCCACCACCACCGCCACCAGCTCTAGCATCACCCCAACTATCGTCACTGAAAAGGCCACTGACGCTCCCAACCTATGCTGCGCACACTGTCCCTTCAAAAAACGGCTCGGACAGTGGAGTGGCGACGGGGAGAGGGAAGAAAGATCGACCTTAGGGACTGCGTCCCACGATACTCAGCGCACATTTCTCACTATGAAAAGTCTGACTTGTCTTTAGATTATCACGGGGCGCTAAAAGCCTTGGCTTGGAAGTTTGCCAACTGACGCGATTACTAGGGCTTCCTCCCAGGAGGATAGTCAAGCTGCAATGGCTACTTCTTAATGTGGCCCCAATGGCACTCCCACTCGGCTGGGATCCGGGCCGCCTCTCTCTCTTTCCTTTTCTTATTATGTAAAATCCTGGTCTTTTGTTCGTAGACCAGGGAGCATGTTGACACGCCTGTTTGAGGGTCCACACGGTGCCGGACACCTGCGCCCGACCCCGTCTCCGGCCTTCCTGACTCGGTTCCGACACCTGGCCCAAATGGAGAGAGAGGGAGCGGTAGATGCGGCGCAAATATACTACCACTATAAACTAATTCACGCACAAGTCACCGTCTCTGCGCCCACTATGCTCTGGGGCACGCGGTGGACTTCGTCGATAACGGCGGTCAAGAAAAACAGTTGTTGACAAAACAGTTAAGAAATGTCTGTGGATCCTATTGCATTTTCCAAATGAAGCCCATTTTCATAAACACTCGCATTTCTTAATCGGAGGCTGTCTTTAATGATTGGTTCGAGTGAGAACTCAAAGTGTAGGTAAATAAAATCCCTACTCCAGTGACCGTGTCACCTTCTCGACCGGCATCCTAAGTACGCAACTGCATGCTTATTTTCGGGAAACTCTGTTTTGCGAAACACTGTCTTCCGTGCATCCATAAATACTGGGAAATTTCTAATAGTTTTTAGGGGCGAAAGAGGGTGAAGCTACTGAAATTTCGTTATTTAAGCTGAAAGCGATAATATACAGCCCGTATTACAGACGGCCTTGCCATGGGTTCCATGGAGGGTTAGAGTCATGGCAAGTGTTAACGTTAGAGTTAGGATCAGGGTCAGGATTAGATTTAGGCTGATAATCGCTAAGGTCAGGAAAGGGGGATGGTGCCGCCCCGGGAATTTAGAGTGAGGCCACATGTAGTATTGGGGGGCTCATATTCCCGCATAAAACCGACTAGGAAACCTAAGGAAATCAGGCAGAGTAAGAAAAGGTTTGCTGTTAAAACTAGGAAGACTGCCGATTGCCCAAAAGTGATTCGGGGTCCTCCATATAAGCAATCGCATTCGCACCTAATTAGTGCTCAAGGTGATAATTTTTTCTTCTCTTAATCCACAAGGTGATTCTGTCTCGGTTTGAACGACTGTGCCGCTGAACTTTCTGTTTCATTCACAGAAAAGGAGAAATGTGACAGACACCTACGGAAGATCTCAATTTCGACAATGAAGATGTTTATTACGACAGAATGTAGGGAGCATTACAATTGACGCATCTAAAAGTGATGCCAGGTTATTATCGGAACTATCATCGCCTGCCTTCCGTTAGAAGTAGGTGCCGCTTTCGCGCAAAAAATTATTGTTAGACACAGAAAAAGCCCCAACAGCCGCAGATTCCAAGCCGATTTGAACAAAAACAATCATGTCATGCAAACGAAGTAATAAATGAAAACCGAGTAAATTATGCTCTCCTTTAGGCATAACCCTAAAGATGAATATGGCATGCAAGTAATATTTAAGAGAAAGCTGGCAGCAGATGTTATACCACAAAACATTGCTCAATAAGTGTGTACAAAAGTTCAAAGATCGCTCAATCCAGGCAGACAGTTATAATGTAGGGTAACAGTGTCTAGTAAAAAGTATGAAGGATATACTTAGACATTTTTGGATTCAAAACCATTCCACAAGCCGCGATAACTTTGCAATTATACGACGAATTTAATCATGCACTGTAGAATAAGGAGACCAAATAGTTGATTTGTTCCCACATTATGCGACCCAACCCATGAAACATGACAAGGAAATGAAGGCGATCAATTTCGGTCCAGTAAAATGCTGCATGTTTTATTCTTTCGTCTGAGCTGTTCCGGAAGGTGTCTTTTTTAGGCATAAAATGTGTACAAACAATTGTTTAAGTAGAAAAGTTTACAAGTTTGAGCGGATACCTGAGGTTTTTTGTATTCGAGCAGTTTCCTGTGCCTCAATCTGAGCTTGCACATCCGGGTGTGTTTTTCTGTTGGAGGCGAGTAATCTAAACTTGAGGGTGCTGAAATTGAAAATAGATTTTTCGCCATATAAACCAAATGGAACACAGTTTAATCAAAATGATTATTTATAGAAAACCAGAAGACTGATCGATTTTAAAATTTGGTTTGGAAATTTATGCGATTTCATGTCCTAACACATATTAATAACATTTACAGACAATCGTTTGTATAAACGTTCCGATGCCTTCCTGCACTTTGCAAATACTCAATGACTTACTGCTCAAAGGCTCTCCACCAAGTGGCTGTGTTAACTTCTAGACATACAGTAAGATACTTCTTGTATGATCTGGTTTTTGATACTGCATGATTTATAAGTGAAACGACCGGAATATTAGCGGTTTTAACAATATCTTGGTATTTATATGGCCAATCTATTATGTACTTACGATCGTAGAACAAAGCCTAAATTGTGCAAATATGGCGAAATAACTCCAATTTAAAGGTAAAAGGCAGTTCTTTTTGAATGTGCAAGAACTCACTATTTCTGTAAATTCCACCAAAAATACCTTATTCTGGAGGTCTTGAAATACATATTGCCCAGTGTCTACCGTTATGGCAATCGATTAAAAACACTGAAAATCATAAAGTATTCACCGATATTTCGAGGACGACCAGATACGCACAAGAAAAACCGCAAACAATTTTCGTCGAACAAAATTTATCATAATATACACAAAACTATATGTTATCGATTGCATCTACTAATTTTATCCAAATCTATTAGTCACTGAACCTGCGTGTGAACATGTGACGCTATGAAAACTTTTATCCCTGTGAGGTTTCTGCTAGCAAAATCAAGCAAAATCCTGTTTATCTTAATCAACCGCACCTGGAATTATGTAAAAACGGAAAAATGCAGCCAGATCTCTCGAAACCGTTTGAAATCTATGCTCAAACTATAGGCTGTTTGTTAAACATCATACTCGATATTATATCTATTCTTGAAGGATTTTTAAGTTCAAGCTTCATAAAATGTGCTTTCAAACGTTGGTCTGCTGGTGCTGTTTTGCATAGACAGGCTTTCGGTAGATCTAATTGTGGGCCTCTAAACAGGATAGAAGAACAGAAACCGCCTGCAATACAGCTGGCCGCGAGCCAACATCCAGTGAAATAAGGGTTCGGTTAAGGACTAAGTTCAAGGCTAGATTTAAAGTAAACAACGAGATGAGTCAGGACCAAATTTAGGGCTGAGATAGGGGTAGTGTGGAATAAAGATCTAAGGTTTAGGATAGGGCTAGGGCCAAGACTGGCACGACAGTTTACTTTTATATTAGGGCTATTGTTGGGGTTAGGGCACGATAATATTTTGCTCTTTCCGGAATTCTGTGCAAGGTCCACCTTTATAACTTGGGCGGGGCGTATACATTCCCTTGTCCTGTTTAGGATGCCAAATAGGCCAGACCTATCAATCCAACACCTAAGTTTACACAGTTACAACGATTTTCGATCCTTTGGGAATTTAGAATTTCAAAAAATGATATCTCTAGAAAAAAGTAATGTTAATTTTAACACTTCTCACGTTACTAATTTGTTTATAGCTTTCGATTGCTAATGTGGAGTCTTGATCCATCCATTTAAGCAGGTTTGTGAGTAATTTGCAATGGTTCGTAAATTTCGGTACCTCTCATGAATTGGGGCACATGCTGTGCTTCCAAAGTTTCTTCGGTAGAATTCATTAGAGACCAGTTAAACTCTTTTGCACTTGGTTTAATTAATAATACCCATAAACTGGTGGGGAAAAGTTCGTATGACACTTTCAAACGATAGAATTCATCGCGAAAAATTAGTTACACAAAAGTATTATTATGCACATTCAAAGGACTGTGTTAGAAAGAACTCAGTTCGAAATTTATTCAAAATTGTTTTTCACTCTCCAACCAGAGGTCTTTATTAACACTTATCTATTAACACCCAAACATTATCACAAGCAGCCATGGATTATACTTCGAATTTTGGCTGAAAAGGACTTTTAGAAGAAGTAACATCATCGCGAGGCTGTATTAACACCTGTTTAATACTGAATGATTCCACTGTATCTCAGGTTGCTGTTTAGCCATACCGGGGCCAAATCAGCCATTTCAAATCTTTGGGTAAACAAATTTCCGGTAAAATTATCTATTTGCTGCTTAAAGCCCTTCCTCACAGTCCGAAAAAGTTGCGCTATAATTGAAATAATAATCATCCGCCAGTGAAAAATCCCGCAATAACGTCCGCCTGCGAAAGCATTGTAGAAGAATGCACTATGTGTGCTAGAAGGCCGTGTTTTAATGCACAGTGCGTTGAAGCGTTTTGGATGGGAAAATAATTTGCAACACCTATCAACACGACTGATATTCTGCTTTTTTTTATGAAAGAACAAAGTAACCAGGCAGGTGCGTGCATAAACCGCCTTCGCTGGTTTAGATACTTATTTCATAGGAACACAAAAGAAGACAAGTGGGAAGCAGCAGTATAACGAAATGCCTTTGACAAGCATCCGCATATCCCTACTGCTCTTGAAATTAGGGGTGAAATAAGTCACTTGTCGCCTTTTTCTAACTGAAAAGTAAAAGTCGGTTCTGATGACCATGTTTTTTCTCATCCCCTACGTTTACTTGTCGAATTACCTGAAAGCCTAGGAGGTATGCAGTTTTTAGACTAGTAAAACATTTCTGTTAGGAAGCTGTCGTGCTCAACATGATGTGCTGGTATTTGTTGCTACGGCGATCGAAACTGCTGTGTTGTCAGGGCTCCCAAATGCCTTTCAGTCGGTTGTTAGAGCTGAATTTTTAGATCTAATTTATATGGCACAACGCTGAACCGCAAGCGATCACTAAATGGCTTTAGTAGAATTCCACCTACAAAACGTACTATTATGTTTTCACTTCTCATACTATTATAGGGTAGTCATTTCAGCTTAGAATTTGTTATTTCGCAAAGC